TATGTACAAAAAGTATAGTTGTGCGCAAGAAAAATTACATTTCGTATTTTTTATAATGACAAAATGCATAAGAAAAACAGGAGCCGGTGTGACAAATAGGGAAAACGAGGCAAATTGTGTGTTGAGTAATAAAAAATAAAATAAAATAAATCTTGCTTGTAAGAAAAATCAAGACGTAGAACAAAAACTAACGGATAAATTATGACCTTTGGCTCCATCTTCAACTTTTTAAATACAAAACCACATTTGGCAACATCAGAAAACCCCCAAAAATAATAATTCTAAACTTACAGAGAAAGTTCAAAGCAATGTTTAACCTTCACCTTCTTTCAAAGGGTAAACGTGAAGCAGTTTCATTTTCATAAATTGGTGTTGACTTTGCGTTCGGGAATGGCTCTAGAAACTTTCCGTGCTGACATTTGGAGAAATGAAGCCATCGATATTTCCAGGTTATGTTGGTATTGTCAGATCACGCTCACTGAAATGAGAGTGAAGGGATTTTTTGGGTCGAGATATTGACTATACATTATCTGACATGAACGTTAACAAAATGCAACAGAGTTTCAAGGTGAAATTTACTTTAATGTGTTTTCTTGAAAGATCACCCTGGTGGATTAGCGCCCCGGGATCTATAGGAATTGTTGAAATTGCGCGGGATAAATCATCAGAGTGCACCGCTAAATTAAAAAGAAAATCTGTATTCCTCAGTGATGCTTCTACTTCAGTATAGCTGCACTTGTTATCACATCCAATCTCATGATAAGTCCCAATAACTCAACTCTCTCAGTACCTTAACCAAAGCAAAGGGGTTTGCTCACTAAATTCTGAATTGTAGCAAATTAGAAATTTTAATGGCAATTTTTGGCTAATTATTTACTTTTGGAGAAGTACAAGATCAACTATTTTAGCCTACATGTTGCTATTCAGATTTCAATTTGTTATATTTCCGGGTTTAATTAATGAACATCTAAGAGTTATATTACAGAGAACTTTTGGTTTCAAAGGTTTTTCTGAATTAAATGGACATTCCACAAATGCTCTTTGTATATGTTATGATTTGGGGAGTTCTGTTTCTCCTTTTCACATGTATCTGTTGCTTTGAACAGCAGTGATTTCCAAAGTAAAACCATCAGTGGAGGTAATCCACCAGCAATCAAAAGCTGCTTCACATCGGCAGCAGTTTCATTCGTGTTTTCACGAATGGAACTTATGTCAAGTGGTGAGTTACATAAACCGAAAATCACTGATGTGCTGGGTATTTCAGGATATGTTCAGCTCTCATTGAATTTAATGGGAGGACTAGGTTTGTCGAAGCTTTCAGACTCTTTGTGGCCTGACGAGAGGTCCATGCAGAAGCTAAAAATCCTGGGAATTTTCAGCAACCACCAGAACTGTAAATGTGAGCGGGCCTGTGTGTGTGTGTGTGTTTAAATTAAATTATTGAAAATATGAGTAAATAGGTTGCTTTTACATGCATCAGCACATCCTATATTGACTCATTACTTCTTTATATATGGTTATTTGGTGAACAAATCAAAGTATTTTTGTAACAGTCTACTAAAAGCTGTATGGTTTCAACATTTCAATTTAATGGGAAATAGTGAAGATGTGATTATATTCCTGCAGCTATAAAGGAAAGTAACTAATGTACCACAGTGTCTATATACATATATGTAACAGCTCTGTGTTGATTTTGCAGCTGTTTTGTATTCTGAGGGTGTTAGCAGCGAATGGAAAATGCTTTGATGTCTGAAATCTGCAAAGTGTATCGGCAGCACTTAGTATAAGTCAGGATCCTCATTTGTTGAAATGAAAGGTAAAATAAAACAAATCAATGTGGCTCAGCATTCACTCAGAGGTTCCAAAGTCCAGTGATGGATAGTTAGATCTTGGCTATTCAGGAAGTATGAAAACCCACGTAAATGGCTCAGATGGTGTGAAATCTTTCTGGCTGCCTTGTAGCGAGACACCTACTAAAACTGGATTAGACAATAAGGTAAATCCCTAAATGTTTGGACTACAACCCTCAACCAGTGCTTTCCCGAGGTGTCTGTTAATGGCATTCACTGGTGGCACCGATGTCCAAAGAGTGCCTCTATGTCATTGACTTTGGCACATTTTCACTAAGGAAAAAATGTGTCCTGGTCATTTAAAGGCAGAGCAGCCTAAGAGGAGGTAGTGGGAACATGGCCTCCTCAAAGTGAATGTTATCTTGATGTTCCGTCAGGGCATCGCTTGCGCAGAGCCCTACGGAATAGTTCTTACCTGGGGAAAATGCCCTGGGTTTGTTTTACACCGCACAAGCAAATGTAATGACACTCTTGTGTTTCTTTTACTGGTGAATTGTCTCTGGTGTAACCAATACCAGAGGATGAGAGTGGGACAGGACCGGTAAAAGGTGTTGTGCATCTGTGGTGAGGCTGCTTGTGGTGGTGATGTATGTTTATGGAGACTGCTTGTTGGATTGCATTCATGTAAATGTGACTGTGGTGCAGTGTGTGTGTGTAAAGGGGTCAGTTTGTGGTATACTATGTGTGTCCATGGGCTGTAAAGTACGTGTCTATCTGTGTAGGTGCTGTAGAGATTATGTAGGTGGGTGTGTATATCTATGGGGTGCATGTATGTATATAGGGACTGTAGTGTATGTGTGTTTGTATAGTGGCAGTAGTGTGTAGGGCAGATAGGTGCTTCAGGATGTAAAGGGGGGAGGAGATATTATATGAATAATACTGTTAAATAATTTTTATTTTTTGTAAAAATCACTCTCTCAATTTGAAGGGACTGACTTCCTTCTTTGGGCCGCTCTCACTGAGTGCCAGAACTGCATGGTCTTGCTTGGGAGATCAGCCTCGAACCATACCCATCTCGAGATGACCATGGTGGCATGTGCTCACTCTTTCCAAACTGTTCACAGTGTCTGTTTTTAGGGAGTTACCTGGCTGCTGTGCACATGTGCCATTAATGCTCATGACTCAAGCAATGTGCTAGCACTTATAGTAGGGTGACCACTAGGTGGTGCATCTGCACTGCTCTCACAGCACCAGTAGTTGGTGTAGGGCTTATATCCACCATGTCTTCATGGACGCACAATTTCGTTTTTGTGTTGTTGGGCTGCAAAAAATAAATAAATAAGTGTTCCCCTGCCGTATATTTTAGAATTTCCATGCTGCTTGACTTCTGATTGAATTCTCATTGAATTTCTTTCGGGAAGCATTTGAATTCAAATTGGGAAATACTTTCCATGTGTTGTCCATTATATGAAACATTGTGAATCTGGCATTGTCTAGTGAGATTAAAGCTCAGCGTTAGATAGTGGGCAAGGCTTAAGGCTTAAGGACTGTTCGCCAAAAAATTTTGGGATGGCAAAATCTGGTTTGAGCAGGTACACAAAATTAATCTACACATTGTGTTTACAAAATCACCATTAAATATATGGATTAAACTTTAATGTCTCCGTCATTGCAGGGGGTCTGGTGGAGGGACCTGGACGGACATTGTCTCCAAAGAAGTGACATACACTGGAACATGACAGGGTTTGAGAAGTTAGTCTGTAAAAAGAGCATTCGCCTAAAAAGCAGCAAATGTCACTGCTAACATTTTGTTGCAACCACCATAAAACTGATGAACTGTTTACAAAATTGATAAAACAAGCCTATGATAGCTTTTGTAAGCCCTGATTATTTGTAATGATTCTCCCAGGTACCGGTCCACTTTACACTTTAGAGAAAGTTTCAGCTTATCCGTGAAGTGTAGTGTATGTGATGCCACAATCCATCTCCCAGAATTGCCTGGATAAGGAATTTTGTAGAGTTGATAAATAGTCCTTTGTCAAATGATTTACTTCAAACTGGCTGTGTAAAGCTGACATCACTCTCTCTCTGCCTTCTCAAAGTGAATGTTATTTTGATGTTTTGTCAAGTTCCCTGCAGAAGAGGACCCCATCTCCGTGGTGCAATCACTCAATCTTACCAAAAAAAACTGAATTATAAACTAACTGGTGCATCTGCGGTTCATGTAGCACAGGAATGTTTAACGATTTAATGACAGACTGGCAGAAGCAGGCCTATCTTGCCACCTGAATTACAGCCTCTTTACCAGTCCAGTGCCAACTCTTACATGTAACTAGATGATGAAACTGAATTTTAACCAGGCTTAGGCCTCGATTTCCTGTATGTGTATTATGCATGTAAATGTCATCTCTTGGTCAACTATTATGCATGCACATATTTTAAATCTATATCCTTTGCTATGGCATTAGCCAAATTCTCCTTGGCATATACATTTGGGGTACGGGTGGATTGTAAAGACGATGTTGCACACATAGGAAATGTAAATTGTGGTATTTGAAGAAAGGATTAGGAATTTGGATTCATTCTGCAATAAAGAAATGGGAGATCACAGCGGATAGGAGGCAAGAAAAGGTTTTGAAGTGTATTGTGTAGTATAAGTTATACGGGGTAAAGAGCCTAACCATGGCACAAGGCTCTGCAGGTCCAGTAAACAGTTACTCGGCTCTGTAGAGTAGAAAGAGAGAAGGCACGCTCTGCACAGGGCAAATATAGCATTAGATGGTCTGTGGGGGCTGTGTTAGCACCCAGATGTTAGATGTGTTAGTTTCTGCACCTATTGCAGGCAGAGCCAGATTAAGAGACCAGTGGGCCTGGTGCTGACAATTATGATGGGCCTAATTACAAAATCGTATGGACCAAAAACACTAAAACAGTCCTACCTCCTAAGCGTCATGTATCTGATGGAGATGGTGCTGGAGGGAAACTCATAGGATGCAGCTATGAGAAAACACATACCCTATGCTAATCTTATGCTTTCAAGTAAACCTATACCCCCTAACAGCAGTAAAGCAGAAAGTCTATGGATGGGGTAAAAGGGTGGGCCACTGACACAAATCATATAACCAGAACTGCCGAAAGGGACGAACATACACAAAAAGGGGGCATTTCTGTGTCCCCATGTCTCCCAGTCCCTTAGTGTCTGTGTCACCCAGTGTCCCCAGGTCTCCCAGTGTTCCCTAGTATCTCAGTGTCCTCAGGTCTCCCAGTGTCCCCATGTCACTAGGACACTGGGGGACATTGAGAGACCTGGGGACACTGAGATACTAGGGAACACTGGGAGACCTGGGGACACTGGGTGACTTTGAGACATGAGGGGACACTGGGAGACATGGGGCACTGAGACAATGTGATACATAGGGGACACTGTGATATATAGGGGACACTGGAGACTTGATAAAGACCTGGGTACAGGTCAAAACGTTGCGGTGTCCAATAAACCCGCTTAAATCTATCACAGTGAGTGCCTGAGATTTTTTTCTTTTATACTAGGGGACATTGAGACACTAGGAGACATTGGGACACTGAGACACTGGGAGGCTAGGGGACTTTGGGAGACTAGGAAACACGGAGACACTAGGGACACTGGCACACTACGAACACTGAGACACCAGGGGCACTAGGAGACATGGGGATACTGAGATACTAGGGACACTGGCTGGGAGACATGGGGATACTGGGAGTGCCCCATGTCTCCCAGGTCTCAAAGTCCCCCAGTGTCCCCATGTCTCTGTGTCTGTGTCCCCATGTCACCCAGATCCCTTATCCCTTAGAGTCTGTGTCCCCTTGTCTCCCAGTGTCCCCATGTCACTAGGATACTAGGGTACACTTAGAGACATTGGGACACTGTGAGACATGGGGACACTGAGACACTGGGAGAGACATGGGGACACAGATACATCGGGACACTGAGAGACACCAGGGACATTGGGAGACATGGGGACACTGAGACACTAGGGACGCTGGCTGGGAGACATGGGGACACTGAGCGACTAGGGGCCACTGGAAGACATGGGGCCACTGTGTCCCTAGTGTCTCAGGGTCTCTATGTTCCACAGTGTCCTAATGTCTCAGCGTCCCCAAGTTTCTCACCGTCCCCATGTCTCGCAGGCTCGGAGCTGCTGTCTGGCCTCTCTGTGCAGAGCTGCTCCCCCGCGGATCAGTGAGTAGAGAGAGGCAGGGAGGGAGATGCTGTAACTTCTTATTCCTGCCTCTCTCCACACAAAAAATTACCCCTACTGGCTGGCGCTGGTTTTGCAGAATAATCTCTGTTTATACTCTGTTTATTACTGCAATACCGGCACCGGCTAGGCAGCCTCAAATACCTGAGAAATACCTGGCAACCATTACAAATACATGAGATATACTTGGCAACCCTAAGAGTAGTGAGTTAAAAAAAAAAAAAAAAAATTCTTTTTTTTTTTTAAATCACTGGACCTATTCCATGGGCCTGGAGCTGCAGCTCCATCAGCCCCTATGTTAATCCGGCCCTGATTACATGGGTAAATTAGAGTGTTAAATACTTTATGTAGTCCTCTTAACTTCCTTAGTGGACCGATTTCTCTTTCACGTTGTCTCCAAGGTCTAGCCTGTATTTTCCCACCAGTGCATTCCCTTATTTATAATGCTGTAGAGGCCATTTTTCATTGTTCAATTCCTCGGTTTCAGGTTTATGACTATAAGCCACTCTCTGCTGATTATATATTTAAAAGTGGATCAGCTTGCACTCAGACGAATCTCTGGCATTTTAATGACAGACCGGAACAATGCTCATTTGCAGTTACGGCTGCGATAAAGTGTTTTGTCCTTGAATATTAGAATCACTTTCTCTGAACACCAAATTAATAATTGCATCTCTAGTTCAATCAAAGTCCTGGAAGAGAGACAATTGTTTTTTTCCATTTTTCACCTTGAAAACTTTGGATATATTAAATGGTATGCAGAACCGGGCACGGTTCACAGTGATGAAAAAAACTGGTTACCGGGAGTATTTGGGTAGCATTCAGGGAGAAAGACTGGACATAAAGCTCAGTAATATATCGAGAAGGTACGTTTTGGTATGGAACATTCCATAGACTCGAGGATCATTGGTTTTAACCAATAGGTCACACTGGTAGGAGTAAAGCGATATCTCACTCATTAGGAAAGCTTTCCTTTATCTGACTGTATCTTCTTGTAGACCCTCTTGTGGTCATTCTTAGAATTTTATGGAATCAGAAGTATTAAGAGCTATTGCCACTCTGCAAGGTCTTTTTTCCTATGGTAAAACAAAGTGTCCGCATGACCCTATGAAAGGATCACTGAAGCCCCAACATACAAACATTTGCATCAGTAAGGTGAAGGTGAATGAGGTGGAGAACGAATAGTGCTATGGATAAGAGACAGGAAGGCGGATAAGGGCAGAACATTGACCAATTTTTCCTAACATTGCCTTCTGCGACCTAATTTCACCACTGACTATGGTAACATCACTCATGGCCAATACCCTCAGCGGCATTAAACTCCAGGACATACATCTCCTAAATCTCTTGTGAAACATACCTTGAAAATGGCCGAACCTTTAAAGAAAATGTTATAACAATTACTATTTTCATACTCCTTTGATGTCATTTTTTTTTTAACTGGCTTGATATTTATTTTTATATTCATCCATACAGAACATATTAAATTGAAATGTTGATTGAAGTGTTTGTGAAGAGTAATTTCATTTTTTTTTTAAATTGTCCATGTTACACGCTCCTTGCTGTCAATCAGACAACTCATCCTATTGCTTCCTGGTTGTTTAGCTCCATGGAGCTAACCTCAAGACAAGAGGAAGCAATTGCCCAGAGCACCTTCCTTGCAAAGACTTGTCATTGAGCTGCATTGTGAAGTGTGTGATTGGACAACCACAGAAAGTCTGAGTTAGAAGTGGAGGGCTTGCAAAGGCTGCAGACAAGAGATCTGCAGCTTGTAAGTGGCCTTTAGGTATACTCAAATTAACAAATGCAGAATTACATGTTCTTAGTGGGATATATCTACATAATTGTTTTATATATATATATATTTATTTTTATTGGAGTGTTCAGTTAACGAGCAGAAATGCACATAAACTTATTGCATGACACAATAACAGATTCATTATATCAAAGATAGTTTTTTTCTGTTTTTGATGCCAGAGGCCTATAAGAATTAATAGTTTGAAATATTACTGAGAGGAAGAAAATATGTGTAGGCGTATGGTTTTTATCCCTGCCAATTTACTGCATAATATTCCAAAAGAGCTAATTGTTTTCAGTGTTTGTTTTGGGGTGAATAACTTTAATTATCTGTTACTTTTGTAAAAGAGTTAAGCAAAAGCCTATGTTTAAACAAGCACATCCATCTGTAGTTCAAAGGAAATCATGTCCTTAAATAAGCAGAGCTAAATTACTGCTAAACATAAAATATTTCCTGGCACCAGCCATTTTGATGTACATAAGTTCTATGCTTACTGGATGTGATTTTTAGTGTGTCCTGGGTGCAGTATTTTTTTTTATTGTAATTTTTTTTACTATTCAACAAAAAAGACTATTGCGTTTATTGAACTTTCATTGGTAGTCAACGTATTTTTGGGGGTGTTGAAGGCTCCAGCAGGCAGCCGCCATTTTTTTTTCATTGCTGCCAAATTTGGCATGTTAGAAGCTGGGACTGCCTGGACTGGTGAGAGTGTGTGCCAGTGTTGGTATCAGTGGTGATGCTTGTAGCCATAGAAGTGTGTGTTATACCATGATACATGCACTTCACGATTGCAGTCAACCCCGTGCACAGAGCTCTACTGAAACTGTCTTGTTTTTCTCAGACATGCTCTGGAAGAGCCTTACTTATCCACAAACACCCCATGCTTTATATCTTTGTCCCCAGAAAATCTACAAAACAAAAACCTTGATAGGGGAAAATCGGTCGTAAATCTAGACCGCCCTGCTGTGTTTTGATCAGTTTGCCTGTCTCCTATGTGACCCATGGAACATACAACTTAGGATGCAGCCAGTGCATGCAAAGTGAAGGGTCACTTCCTGGATGAGATCCTGCAAAGATTGTACGACCAAGTTTTGGAGTCTGCACATTCTGAATGCACCCCATAGTGATCCATTGAGTCATTGCACCATTGTGAAGATATGCAGATTGGCACAGTGCAGCAAATGCCTTGCTCTAGCCCCCAAATAGTTCCCTATCAGTATAAATGATCTCAGACAGTGTGCGCAGGGTAGCCACAGCGAGACTGGCGTGCCGGGGTAATAGAAGTCATGAAAATGCATTTTCCAACCTAATTAACCATGGCCGATAAACAAAATGGTTTAAAGCACAAGGGTTTAGAAATACATGTTTGGATTTGCAACACTATAAATACTGATATATGGCTAGCAGGCTTGCAAAGTTGGCACTTAATGGTAGCAAGCATGGGCTTTGTGCTGAAATGAGGCCACAGAGAAATATTCTATGATGGCTGGATACAAGTCCCAAATCAAACAATCTAGGAAATTTTGGGGTATATGATATTTATACATGATGGCAGATACAGTAATTTTAATAGTATAAACCTCAAGATGGAACGCAGTTGGCAATTCATTGAGGACTTCTATACCATGAAATAATTCTAAAGGAACGAAATATGAACTTTATTTACAATATCTGTGATGTCTGAGAGGTACTAAAATTCAAGTATTATCGAATCTCATTAAATGACAGGAAGATTGATAACGTAACATTTGTAATTGGATCTATTGACTCACCTGGGCATTGGCTGTTAAACTTGAACACATTAAATGCCAGGTGTTCGGTTGTCTTGGTAACTGGTGTTGTTATCAATCTGAACTTTGGACCAGACCAATGGAATTTACAATTCAAACAATGCTCCCGTCTATTGTGCCTTGCTAGTCTGTTTTGTATATATCCACAGCTATAGAGTTTTCAATATTATAATTTTTAAATATTCATTCATCCACCTATACACTCTGCAGTTCTGTACAATCCAGTGTTTCAATAAGCAAATTTAGTTAAATAAGAAAATAGTACCTCCTCTCAATCTGTGTTGCAGTTTTCTGGATAGTTTAAAGGATTGCTCCAAAAACCACAACCACTTCAATGATTTGAAGTGTTCATGGTGCAAGGGGCCTCTATCTGCAGTGTTTTAGTATGAGCAGTGTTTCAGAGAAAAGGCAGTGTTTACATTACAGCCTAGGTATACCTCCACTGGGAACTCCTCAGATGGCTAGAGGTGCTTCCTGGGGCTGTGCTGCACAGTGTGACTGCCATTCAGTGTCTCCACCCTCTGCATG